TCTTTCAGATTTGTTCATTTTGTGGTGATATCTTCAATTATCTAATTTTGATGATTATTTTTGTCATTTTTGGTGAAAAGTGATATTTTTGAATTCTTGTTGGAAACAGCAAGTCCCATTGCTTTGATATTACATATATAGGTACTACATGTGGACCTCTCTCAAATTTGTTCATTTTGTAATGATATCTTTAACTCTCTAATTTTGGTGAATATTTCTGTAATTTTTGGTAAACAGTGATATTTTCGACTTCTTGTTGAAAACCGTGAGTCCAATTGCTTTGATATTACATATATAGGTGCTACATGTGGACCACTTACAGATTTGTTCATTTCATGATGATATCTTCAATTCTCTAATTTTGCTTAATATTTTTGTCATTTTGGGTAAAAAGTGATATTTTCGACTTCTTGTTGAAAACCGCAAGTCCGATTGTTTTTATATTACATATATATGTACTATATGTACTATATGTGGACCTCTTTCAGATTTGTTAATTTCGTGTTGATATCTTCAATTATCTAATTTTGATGATTTTTTTTTTATTTTTGGTGAAAAGTGATATTTTTGAATTCTTGTTGAAAACAACAAGTCCCATTGCTTTGATACTATACATATTGTTCATGTTCTAATGATATCTTCTGTTATTTAATTGAAATGTACATTGCTAACAGCGGAGTTATCTCAGCCGACTGGCTGCTTGTTTTGCTAAATTTGTTAAAATTTACAGATCTGTTAAAAAGTTTGTTGAATTATCTGACATGTGCTGATCTGCTTTTTGAGTGGGGCACACATAAACTAATAATAACATTATGAGCACTCATTATTTTGACCATTGTCACACTGCTGTCATTTAAGTTAGTACATGTGCTGCTTTTAAATAACAAATAAATTAACTGTAGTTTTCTCATTTCAGATTATTCCATTGCAAAGAAAGGAAAATTACGAAAAGTATGATGACAAAAGCAGCCATAATAATTCAGAAGTAATTATTTTTCTAATCATGTACAGTGCATTATGCACATTTTTTTAAGTACATTGTAACTACCGTACATTACATGTATATTACAAATATATCATAAGTAACCACAAGTATGTCACAAGTACATCATAAGTAATATAAGTACAAGGGCATCCATATACCAGTAAATATTACTCTTTTTATGTTATTTTTTTCAGATACTGCCGAGGCTGGAGAGCAAGAAAAATATTTGAAAAGGTTAAAGAGAAGGTAAATTGTGGCATAACAGCAATATTTTGTTAAAGAATGTGGAATCATAGTTCAGTCCAAACATACTTGCTAGCATTTCTTCATTGTTTACGAAGAGCTACAGTACTCATTTCGCCCAGCCTCCCGCCCGCTTCCGGATTTCGATCGCTTTTTTTTCGCTCGCTTTGTTCAATTCGACCGCGCAATTACCGCTTTTTTTTTCGACCGCGCAAATCCGGAAGTATCCGCTCGCGCAATCGTTCGCTCGCTCGCTCGCTCGCCTGACAGAGCAACCGCCCGCATTTACAGTTCATTACCTACTGTTTCATGTACAAGTGTGTCATTTTTGTTTTTATGATGTTAAAATAAGAATAAATACAATCAAAAATTTATAGAACGACCGTTGAAAAAATACGGTGGATCACACGGCCATATAAAATTGGTAATAATACATACGCGTGTGTAGGGTGACGGTTGTCATGCACGCATGGTTTGGGTTTAACACGGGTCAAGTTGTAGATATGTAAATCTATGGCACCTATAACAATTGAAGAATATCTGCAGGAATAGTAAGACTGTGAAAAAAAACGACCAATCGATTGTTATAGAATGACAGCAGTGTAAAATTTGTCAAACAAATACAATACTTGCAAATGTAATGTCGGCCAGCGCCCATCTTACTTGTCCGAAGTTGTCGAAGCCGACATCAATGGAGATCGCGTTTTTTAACTAGGCGGCTGGCAAGCGGACTAACACGTTACATAAACTTGTTGAATTACAATTATGGTTTTTATTTTTGCGCCCAATGTCTCGTTATAAAATAAA